ATTGGCTTTAGTCAAAACCTTTTTTTCCCATTAGTTACACGTTTTTATGAACATTTATCCCTTTGCTTGTCATTTCAGGTTAAAATACGTGTTTGTCCCAGTGCATGGCAAAACCTTGTACGCGCTGCAAATGAATTTAGGGACGTAGGTCATTTTGATGCCTACTTTATATTTCGGCGTCTGTCGCTCGCTAATGCATTCAGCTTTTGTGCTTTCAGCCAGCCACTCTATCCATCGGCTTCCCTTTTCAACAGCGATTTCGTCCCAAGCTCTATCTCAAATACTCTTGTTTGTGATAAAGGCCTCCATGATTTTGAATCAAATGAGTCCTATCTTGCAGCGCAGCAACAAGACTTAAATTCGCCATTGATTTCACTAAAGTCCTCTTTACAGGACTTATCAGTAGCCATGCACAATTACTCTTCAGTAAAAAGACTACTATCCATCAAGCCTTTAAAGGTTAATCCTGATAATCCGCTTCTTTTGAGCCAGGTTTCTCCCAGGTAAATGTATTTTACAACAAATATTAACTTTTTATTTTAGGCGTTCAGATGCATTAGATTCATCTCATGATAATTTTATGTCCTCAAGAGGCATTAAATCAACTTTGGAGCCTGAAGATACTAGTAACCCATGTGTGCAAGAAGAGGACGAGGAGTACCTTCCTGGTCTTGAATTTATTAAATACCCGGTAAATTTTTGTTTATCATTTGCTTAATAAGTATTCGAGCTAACTCTATTTGGCATCAGCTCAATGGATTTATGATTTAGCCTTTTATGCATTATACTTTAATAGAGGGTCATTCCAAAGGTACTAGATTCACTTTATTTGCTGGAGAAGTCCGCATAAAATTTGCCAATTCCTAAGCCGAATCAAAAACTTGGTAAATTGTTAGGCTAAGTATAATCATTGGCTGATATTTTTTTCTGTTTTTCTTTAAAAAATGTCTCCTAGTTTCTACGCCTTAAAGCAAAATATCTTTATACCTCATTAACTAGACCACGATCCTCCAATTGATTTGATTCTCTTTTAAAAATCTCCCTGGGAGTAGACTAACCCTGAAAAATAAATTTATCAATAGGAATTTTGTCACTCTAGGTCTCTTAAGGTGATTTAAGGACAGATATTTGAATTTACCATAAGTGGGTAGACTCCACGATGCCACGATGGTTCCTCAAAAGTTATATAATTCAAGCTGTGTTGCATTTTTTCGTCAAGCACTGGTCTCGTCAGTATCTCAAATGGGTTTGGAAATTGGACATTCGTGTAAAGTTGCGACACTACCACATCACGACACAGCTACATATGCTTGCGGGCTACATCGCACATTACTCGGTATTGAATCGATATTGATGAGACCTATGAGAGTTTGAAACTGCAATCTACCCTGGATGGGAAAACCTTTTTATGAGGCAAAGCTTAGTAGAATTAAAAGTGGGCTGACCTCGTTTTCGCAACTTGGTCGTGTTGTCAGGGCACCTAGATGAAAGCACCTTGTCCGAAGTCCACTGTTGTAATCATTATGATAGTTCCCAGTCTTGGAGCATGGACCTAGTACATTCCCAAACGTTTCACCGACATCGTCAGTTAGTTTTGCGGCTCAGCACCAAGCAACAACTCAAGGAAACGAGTGATGTCAGTTCCTTAGCCAGCCTCCTCCTGCGATCCTTTTTCCTCTAACTAACGATAGATCCTTGATCCAGGCGTTTCTTTTTTGCTTGTCTTGTATCCTTGTTTTATCTCAGACTACTTTAATACTCTGCTTTCTAATCTCCTGTTCTTTGGATTTCTTTCCTCAATAGTGTCAATGGCCTCCCCAATCTTCAGTTTCCTTGTGTTTTCATCATGATGCCTTTTATTATGTAGCCTTCCAATTGATATCGTGTCCAGTCTGTGCAGTGTGTTCCGCTAATCCTGATCTCTCGGTAACCATTTTTCTGCAAAGCCTTTGATCTTCCTTGATTCGTATGCAGATTTTTCTTCCTGTTTATCCAATATATGTCTGTTTGTAGACCCCACATGTTACGCAATAAACCCCCGAGCAATCCATTTTGTCCACTCTGTCATGTTTCTTGGGGAAGATTGATGTGAAGAATGTTGTTTCTTCCTTCCTGGTCACTTGAATATTCCATCTTAATGTTGGTCGTATTTTTTTAATATAGTTCGCAAGAAGGGAAAATTTCACTTTTGTGCGCCTTTCTCCATCTTTACCTTTCATAATCCTCATCCTACCATTGGCTCCTTACAGCCAATATTTTTCTTTCTATTACTTCTCCCCGGTATCCGCTGCCGAGGAATATCGGAGTCAACCTTTGATCCCAGAATTCCACCTTCGTTACTCGTAGGATTCTGATTATCATGCTCCTCAGTATTTTTATCGTCATTCTGTAGTTGTGCTGATCGTCGAAATTAAGTATTATTCCGGCATATGAATTAAATCTCAACAATTTTATCTCAAGTGTCTCATTCAAATAAATGACTCCAGCATCCAAGAATGGTAACCGCTCCTCTTTCTCCACCTCCATTGTGAATTTGCTTCTTTCATGAATCTAGTTCATAAACTTCAGAAAATTTTCCACTTTTTTTTCCATGTGACTTAAGTGCAAAGTAGCCATCCAGGTACCGCATGGGTTGCAGCGATGACGTCTTGAAATTATCTTCTTATTTATTTACCTATAGCTTTGTTAATAGATATGAGAGCGGCCCATAGATATTTCCTTTAAACGGCAAGTAGACAGTCCTTGTTTTCAAGCTGATTAATCATGTTAACGACTCCCTCTTGATCTATTCTGCTTCCAGGATATCCTGTTCTTGGCCTAAGATCTCTAGCAGGACCATTAGCGCCATTTCTCCAGTGATGTTTTTTGTATACTTGGATTGCATATCAAAACTTACCAATGGTTCTATTTCTTCCAATATCATGTTTTTGATCCTTTGAGGATACTTATATGAATGTTTCACTTTGTTTCATAACCTGTCGTTTAATTTCGTGAGTTTCAACCATAGAAATTTCGCCAATTATTATGCTACTACTTCCTTGTTGTCGACTATTAGCTTTAGCGATTTGACTTATTTGTGTATCTTCGCTAATCCGTAGGCTGTTGGTGATATTGATAGTTGTAATATACATCTATCTTCTCGATGTGTTGTTCTTTTGCCCATTATCATTGTCGCTCCTTTATCTACCTGAAAGACTAATTGTCCATTCTTTTGCAAAGTCTTGTGTATCCTTGCAAATCTGTTCCTGCTTGTTGGCTCCTGATGTGTCCATATTATTGGGATTATTTCAATTTCCCGTTTTATCTCTAAAGATAACTTGTTGGGGATATTGATGATCTCTACCAGGATATCTTATATAATTTTTCTGTCATTTCGAAGAGAAAAATTCATTCTCTTATCCCAATCGTCGTATTGATCGTTATGCGTTGTCACTTCGGAAACAATATCGACATGGCGGACTGGCTTTAACTTATGCTGCCTTATAATCCTATGCCCAAGCAACTTTTTGTTGTCGCTGTTATTACGTCAGAGCTCCTTACGTGATTCTGTGACCTTAAGGGGCACTATCCTTCAGATAGGATTAACGAGATTCTTCACCAAGTCTTCATTCAGAAGTTAAGAGAAACATATT